TGCGTGTGTGTGTGCGTGTGTGTTGTGGCATGTAGCAGCTGCGTGTGTGTAAGCTCGCCCCGCCCCCTCGCACACAGACGGGAGAGAGAGATCTCTCGTCTGGATTGGAAAGATCGAAAATACTAAAATATCATAGACGCATTTTGCAGTCTTTTGNGGGGGGGTCGCGAGATGATTACAAAATTAAAATGGAAAATTATAAAAAAAAAGATAATTTTTTTTAATAATTTAAAAAGACAAATTATTATTAATAATAACGTTTGCATAGACATTTTCAGGGGCGGACTAGCCATCTGTATAATTTCCCCGCAACGAGGTTCCCCCTTTGACTAGCGGAGTGTTTCTCAAACTTTTTCATACCAAGGACCACTTAACCAATAAAAAACACTCATGGACCACCTAACTCCACAAATATCCATAAACAACAGGCCTGCTTACCCATTCCAACCGTATATAACAAATTACAGCCTAATAATGACAGTAGTGATAGTAATAGTAGTAGTAAAAAAACTGAAATTAATTCACTAGCACCCCCCGTCGACAGGGGGTCGCCAGTCTCTGGCACTGTTATTTTGGGGGTCGCGGGCTGAAAAGATTGGGAACCCCTGGTATAGAAGACGGTTCGTCCACATGAGGCCGAAACGGAAACGCGGATTCGGAGCCCGAAGGTGGGTAGGTCTGAGGACGAAACGCTTGCAGCTATGTGTGCACGCCCTATACGATCATTTCCTGAAAACAATGACGCCATAGCCCCGCCTCTCCCCACCTCTCCTGCTCACCCCCGCGTCACCCATTCATCCATTGCTGATGCGTTCCGTCAACAACACCAACAACAATGGCGGATCAGGGTTGCGTTCGTGCTCCAGACGCTACTGACCATGCTACAGATTTTAGTGCAAAATGTACAGCTCCTCTACCACAACCATCAGCAACAATAATAATATAATATAATAATAATAATAATAATAATCGTCATCGGTCTTATTCGCTGCTTTTGGTGTATTTTGTGGCGGATGTACAGCACCACTTACAGGCCCGGCATATGTACTACAGCGTCTCCAGCGGGCCGAGCGGTCTCGTGTGGACGGACATGTTTCTTGAGCCGATTCCGTGTGGACAAAATACTTTTTTTATATCGAATTCGGGTCGTTTTGGTCTCCGTTTCGTCTCCGTGTGGACGGGGCCTAAGGCTGGCTCAGGCTTTCGGGGGACTTTAACCTTTTATCTTTTACCTCTTATCTCCTGCTTTCTCTTTATCTGAATGGACTCATGTCCAAAAACCGCATGGTGCCAACTCAGCATCTGGGAAATCAACTCCAGAGTTTGTTTCTCTCACCTGGCAGGTTGGATCATGAGTCGCGGCTGCATCTGTTGCTCTGGTCCTGCCTTGTTATTTTGTTTTCCTTATATTTTTCTTTGGGGGTTCTTCTAAATGTAATTTGTAAAATAGAACTTTATCATTAAAATTTGATTTGATTTTACTATGGTATGCAGATTTGTTCACTTAGAAGTTCTTCTCCACTCGTTTAACTCTGTTGATAATATGGTGGATTAATTCAATTTTAAAACAACAAATCTCATTGATGCCCTTTTCCGCAACTAATGTCAAATTGTCGCTTATAAAAACCCACCATAGAGAGATGCCACACTGGTGGAGCTCCAAAAAAGAGAATGTTGAAAAATGAAATGCAGGTGGCGAACAACACATCTCAAAAGATAACATGTTTTAATTAAAAAAATGGTGTTCATCGCCAAAAATAGCAATACAAATGCCTTATTTTTTGACAGTCTGACATCCCTCTCGATATCAGCGGCCAGTGAACGCCTCTTTATCACTTCATGCAACAACTGCTTCTTTACAAACAAAGTTCAAAAACTCAGAATAGCAGTGCCTCTTTATCAAGCGGAGGGACCATGCCATCCATGCTTTATCATGAAATCCAATTATAGCCACATGACACAATTTGATCCCATCAGGCACACCCCTGGAGGGGATTGTATCACGCTCTGCTGCCTTAATATTCTTCCCACAAGCTTCATGTAGAAGCAGCTTTCAGTTTCTATGCTCTGTCCATTTGAGTCCTGATTTCTTTCAGATTGAAGCCTAATTAGGGCCCAAGCACGGAGTGCTAGGACCCAACGGCGTCCTAGCACGAAGTGCGAGGAACCTATTGTTCTTTGTGGTATTATTATTGTTCCACGCCATCTTTCCTTTTTTTGAGGGCTTTAGGACGCTCAAAAAGTTGTATAATTTTGCACGGACGCCAGGACCGGTAAAAATAGCAACATTCTGGAGTCAATGGTTTCAAATTTTCCAAAATACTCGCTAACGTCACCTATGGCCATTCCCATTTTGTGAAAGATTTACGAAGTTGCACCGTAAGTCCAAATGACCTGAGATGTTGCACACTTATCCTGGTGGACCTGCTCTACAAATAATCCTATTGGACACCTAAGCTCCGCCTACTTTAAATTAGCATAATGTTCAAAACGGTGAAATATTCACTTAAATTTCAATTGAACACATTACCGTAGAAAATGAGCAAGTTCAGACGATAAATATTGCAGCCATTAATCAAAACGTACTCGCAAAAAGGCGGGGCTTAGAAAGAAATGCTCATAACTCATCAACAATGTATCCAAACATCACATATTTTGGTGGATAGGTTCAGTCTGTCTTGGGGAATAGGCACACCAAATAATTTTCATTTTGGACTATAGGGGGCCCCAAAAACAACACAAATGTATAACTCAAGAAGGGATGAACACATTTTTTATTATTTTTTTGCACATACTCTGGGGGTGACTACGAACTGAGATTTAAAGTGTCACAACAAATGCAGAATGTGGGCGTGGCCTATACTTTTAATTTTATTGCGATAGCATAAAATGAGCTTCGGACGCAAAACTTGGGACACGTCAGAGCCCACAACCTTTAAGAGAATGTAAAACAAAACACGTAATTTTTTCTAAAAAACTGCTCACTAGCGCCCCCTATTGTGTGGTAGTCACATATAGTTTCTCAGAACTTCACGAATTTTGGCACAGACATTCCTCATGGAGTTGCGGACATATTTGTAAATAGCTTCCATTAGCCCCGCCCCCCAGGAAGTCGGCCATTTTGAAAAATGTGTGTTTTTCATGCATTTTAAGCACATTCTTGCGAACTCCTCCTCGGGGAATGATCGGAAAAATTCCAATCCAGGACAAGTTCAGCCCCTATCCAATATGACGCTAAATTGAGAAGAACATTTTTGATAGCTCAATCGTGGAGGTCGTAAGCTAACAGCGAATACACCATTTTTGACGATTTACATGTCGCAAATTGGTCCAAACTGCTCGCATATAGTTTTTCCGATATTCACGAAACGCTGTATACACATTGCTATTATGATTGCACACATATTTCAAATTGCTTTTCATTAGCCCCGCCCCACAGAAAGCTGGCCATTTTGAAAAATGGGCGTTTTTCATGATTTTTAAGCACATTTGTGCTATTTCGTCATAGGGAACAGATCGGAAAAATTCCAATCTAGGGCAATTTAAGCGCATATCCAATGTGTTGCGACATTGTGAAGGAATAGTTGATCGCTTGAACATGGGGCTCGTAAGCTAATGGAGAATGTACCATTTTTCACCATTTATATGTCAGATACTACCTTAAGCTACTGAGACCCGCCTGTCTGCCAGGCACATCAACTCTCACACAAACACACAAACACACACACACACACACACACACACACACACACACACACACACACCTACACAATGTACAACACACACATACACTCTACACATTGTACAACAAACAGCTCCTAAAGCATAACTAAATATCAGGCTACATCCCTTGTATATTTTATTATGTGAAGCACTATATGGTTTCATTAAAAACATCTACTGTTTATTTGTAGATATCTCCTAAAGCCTACAAATAAAGTGTGAAATGTAGGCCTGTCACATATATTATTGAGCCATATAGATTATACACACTGTTCTGCTTTCTGCACTGACCTCAGCAGCTGTTCTCACTGTAAACATCGCCTCACAATGAAAGCAGTTGTATTAAAAAAAGAAATAGCCTAACATCCAGGGGAGATCTGATAAGTGAGTAAACAAACGGTAAAGGGCAGAAAGTCTGATGCACATTTGATCATCTCAAATAACTTATAATCACAACGGGAACAGTTTGCAGAGCTGTGCTTTGTTGACATAAGTCCAGCCATGCGTCACACCTCTTTTAAACATCACTGTTGGCTGAAATCGTCTCCGGAGAATACTTCAGTGTACCCTCGGTTATAGCTCCTCCAGAGAGACTCCTCTCTCCTCTCTCCTCAGCATCAGTGGACCCTCGGTTATAGCTCCTCCAAAGACACTCCTATCTCCTCTAAATCAGTGTATCCTCGGTTACGGCTCCTCCAGACAGCCTCCTCGATAATCGAACCTCGACGAGCCTTTAGAGAAATTTGTTTTCTTTCGAGACAGCGCGCCGACATCCGTTTCCGGGTTGCTGCCGGAGGACCTGGGAGTCTGGGACGCGAAAATTATAGAAATGACAAACGGCTCATTTCCGAGGACTCGCGCGTGTCTGCTTGACGCCGGGACGACCGGCCGCCCTCCCCGACAGGCGCACGGACGCGAGGGCCCGCTCATCACTGCGCGCACATGTGCGACCGCAGTTTTAATTAAATATTGTATTCAAATGATTGGTGTATTAATGTGTTAATCACTTCAGTGTTGTACTTGGTAAAGGTGGGGTCCGTTTGAATTACTGTAAACACTACTGTTGATCTTAACCAATAATAATATATGATAATTATGTGTTAATTTACATTAAATTACATTAAATTAACCTAAATCTTCAAAGTAACTAAATATATAAAATAAATGTAGTGGAGTAAAATAATGGGAAAATACTCAAGTAAAGCACAAGTACCTCAATGTTCTACTTAGTACATTTGATTACATGTACTTAGTTACATTACACCACTGACAGTATGTTACTCACAACATTTGGCCAGTTGTCTCCATGGCAACACAGATGCTCCAGCTTCCTGGCACTCGGCCAGGTAGGTGCTCAGGGCCTCACACAGCACTTCCTGTCGCCCTTCATTGGTGCACACATCGTACAGACAATCTGCCACATTCTCTGCTACCGACAGGCTGCCATGACAACCAGCGAAGGGGCCCTTCTTGTCGCTTATTATCCCGCAGTAGTCTGGGCCTGTGTACCTGAGGAGGAGATCGGGGAAATACAGAGGATTATTGGCATCTCCTCAAATTATATCATTTTAATAAAACACATTTAGGTCATCATTTCAGTTGCTCCAAATCGTGATAGATCTGAGGAGGTAACACTGAAAATACTCAAACGTTGACTTTGGAATAAATAACAAATATTAGGTTAAACTTAATATATTGTTTTCAACTAACTAATACAGGTATGTGAAAGGTGTTGACATAATTTGTCTTTAGTGATTGAAATGTTTAGGGGGGTGTATTTTCTTTCTTATCTTAAATATGTGTTGAAAATGGAGCTGCTGTGCAGGAACATTTTAGACTTGATCTGAAAAGAAAGTATTATTGTGTTAACATAATGTCCTGTGTCCCCGCAGGATGAAAGCTAATGACTTTCCTTATCTTGGGCTGTCTAGTCGAGATTTTGGGGGAATGTTTAGCAGCTCAAAATGTCACTTCCTTTATGATCAAAACATCTCATAATCCAGAGCTGCACTTCCTGTTTAGTGCTCATTAGAACATGTTAATTAGTATAGTCGTTTTTTTGTTCTTTCCATAAACTACTAAAAACGTTTAAAATTATCTTCGTTTATTTGGTGTGAATGCTAAGTCAGAACAAAAATAATTATTTATTATTATTCCGCATCTTTTTTTGATTGCTTTCTTGTTCCATATGGGTGCTATTACTCCGGACATTCATAACTTTCATAATTCCAGAAATATTATACAGTAGCTCATAAAGCGTTTTGTGAAGGAATCTTCGCCCTCAGCACAGAGATGATGTCTTTAGTCATTACTTCCCCCAGCCCCAATACTTTAGCCACGCCCTTACATCACATACCCACATAGTGGTCACACAGCAATGTCTTCAGGAATTGCATTCTCTAGTTATGTAGTGATGTTCACGTTTATAATGAGTGACACTGAATATCTAAAGAGTGCTCATTGAAGGAGGTACTGACTTGACGCGGTCCTGGTCTGAGCACTGCGGACACACGTCCTCACAGAAGTGGTAGCAGAAGGGGTCGTTGTCCTCCAGGCTCCAAGTGGAGGCCCAGTCCGTCAAATTGGCAGCCGGCCGCCCCCCCGCCTGCATCAGCTCGTCCTCCGGGTCACCGTTGTAGTTTCCACAGAGCCCGGCCACATTACCAAAGTAACTGCTGCTGATGGACACCATGAGGAGTGTGGACCAATCAAACGTGACCTCCACGCCAAAATCACATAGGAGCGTGCCTCTGATTCCAGACGCTGTTATGGAGATGCTGCCTCCCTCCAGACGGACAGGAAGCTCCATCCTGATACCGTCCACCTGACGGGAGGGGGGTGGGACGGAGGGGGGGTGGGGGTGGGGGGGGGGGGGGGGTCTTAAACTTGTTGTACATAATTGGTTTCATCCACTATGGGACTGAAAATATTGTCAATATAACCATATTAGTTCTGCTTTCCATTAAACACATTAATATCAACAGGAGGTTTTGGAACTGTGAAATAACAAGAGTAACAGCGGTAAGATTTAGAAGAGATAATTACTATGCCAACTATAAGCAGAGCAAAAACGAAATCCTGATTCAGAAAATAGCATGCAAGACATTCAATTAAAACCAGTGGCATTAATATGGCAGCAGAAATTAATTTCCCGTATCAGACATGTATATATTCAATTGGGAAGAAGAAGAATACATTTTGCTCAATCAATTAAACAATCCCATTTCAGGTCAGGTGGGTTGTTGTTGAATGAAGCGCTCTCCAATGTGTAAAGAATTTTGAATAGAAATTGGACGGGAGGAAACCCGCTGCTGTAAATGGTACACACAACATGGCAAGCCAGCAGAGGGCACACACCAGTGAACATGTGCCTATGCTTTTAACGCGCATCCCTAGTAGCAGGAAGCCAGTGGGCAGCTTATTGGCACAAAAGCACCCCGTGGAGCAATGGGAAGTTAGGGGGGAAGGTTGTCCGTGGCCTTGGCTCAAAGGCACCAACGCAGTGGGCAGGAGGTGAACTGGTCGGGACTTGACCGGCGACCCGACCGGCTGCCACAGTCCAAGCCCCCCTAGTGACTGAGCGCCACTGCTGTGTGTGTGTGTGTGTGTCTCAATACATGATAACATTTCCATGCGTGTTGAGTTCTATCAACATATTTAGATTTTCTGTCGCACTTTCTACTAAAGCTTGTAATATCACTGGTGTCGCGTTTGACTCAGCAATGACAGTAAAAAATGTTTAAATTGCGCAAGCCCAGGCAGTGAAAACGTAGCATGACCAAAACCTTAATCTGTATCAGATTTCCTTTGTGTCCGGTTAATTAGAATTGAATCTAATTATGGGCAGTGAACTTAAAGGAATCAGTGTGTGAAAAGTTGGCAGTGCCTGGCATTATTTACGGCTGAGCAAAGAACCCACCAGTATGACCCCTCTCTCAGAGGAGGGGAAAATGGAGATCCGATGGCCGCAGCGCATCCCACAGTGGGGCCTGAGCGTCTAACGAAGGAGGCCCTCAGATTTCCTCGCAGCTCATTCTTGGCCTGAATCACAGTGAACGATGTCAGGGATGGGGTCGACGACCCTGGGGAAGTTCATTCTAATGTTAATGTTAGCAGTGTGACCATTGACTTAAAGGCCAGTGAACGCTGAAGTGATGAATGCTAACTCAATTCAAGGATTGTAACTCATTCCTGCACCACTCTAATTTTTTGTAGTCATTTTACCGATGGAAACTAGAGTGACAATGTGAGTGTGAGCAGAGGCAGACAGACCCTGTGGTGTTGACCAGCAACGAGGTGCAGGTTCCCTGGAAAGCAGTACCGCGTATTGTCAACATGTGCCGTAGTGCGGGTCGTGCCGAAAAGCGCCGAGCACAAGGGGCTGTAGAATCAGGAACCACAGCACTCCCTGGCGCTTCTGACACCGCAACAGTGCTCCTTTACTCTGCACTTAACGACTCCAGCACCAGGGTGGGCCTGCAATATACCACACACACACAACACACATAGCACAGGCCACACACACACGCACACACGCACAGGCAGCACACACACACAAATAAAACAGGCGAGCAGCACAGCACAACGGCACGACACATACAGCAGCACACACATACACCAGGCACCACACACGCACACACAACAATACACCGCAAACAGGCAGCACACACGCACCACACACACAGCACACACAGCATACAGACAGCACCATACACATGGCACACACAGGCACACACACCAGAGCAAGCAGCACCCACACACACACACACACAGGCACACTACAGGCACAGGGCAACACAAAAACACATATGGGCTTATCAGGTTACAGAGAAAGCTCAAAAAGTAAAGTGATAAAATAAAACGCATGGGAGCAGCAAAATAGAAACACTGTCTAAGAGTGTTGGCATTTTGACAGTTGTACATTTTGTTATCACTGTTATATGGGAATGACACGTCGTTTCTTGCCTCTGATTTAACTGTGTCTGAATCATTGAGGCGCTCTGCCCCACTGTGTAAGGGTGCTGTTTACTTTTTCAGAGAGAGAGGTTCCAAAGAGGTCAAGACATTTCTGTGACTCTGGAGCGGCCTGGAGGAACAGCTGAGCTGCTTATGGACGTCTGCAGGCTTCCCAATTCTTCACCATAGGCACACTTTGCAAATGAGTGACGTAGCAGTACAACTCCCCGCTCCAATACTCTGTCAGGAGTTGCCGTGTTTAATACTCAATCTGAATGATTCATCTGTACTCCGGCTGGCTTAATGACAGGGCAGGGCAGCTTTTTTCCTTAACTTGAATTAATTAGAACACACTCACCGGCTGCATTGAACATATTG